CGCGGTTCCGGTGAGCTAAGAAAATGCTTATCTCCCTGAGCTTGGCCTTCATAATTCCATTCCATCACACTACAGCCTCCATACCAGATGGAAATACAGTTAGTGAGTACACTCTCTATAGTACCTCTATAGAAAGTAAGGAGAATGGAGGATGAGAGATGTACTTTCCTCGTCTGGCACAAAAAATGCAAATGTTGCCACGCTCGTTTCACCAAAAATACGGTGTTAAGGGACCAGGTCAGACTATTCGTTAACTGGACCCCTAGGAATCTAATGCTACTGACTGACTCCACAGCTATGTTATTAATAAAAAGGGGAGTGTGACTACACCGGTTCTTCCTAAAATCTAGGATAATCTCCTTAGTTTTTTCCACATTTAGCACCAAACTGTTTTTATTACACCACTCCACCAGACCCTTCACCTCTTCCCTATAAGCTCACTCATTGTCATCCCTGATAAGACCCACCACCGTTGTATCATCCGCATATTTCACAATGACATATGATGTTCTCATATCAACACCAGCCAACCTTAAGAAGGTCCTTGTCAAATGTGTAACCAGACACTCCAAGAGGACAAAACATGCTGTGTGATACTACATTCATATTTTGGTGGAAGGACAACATGTACTGGGAAAAGGCAAACTTAAGTAAATGTGAAAGGTGGCTGCTGCCATTTGGACAGCTTCAAAGCAATTTCCTGCAAAATTATAAAGAGGTAGGTCACAGAAGATGAGAGAATTAGGAAGCAGGGAAAAAGAGGAAGGTAGCCCAGCCAAAGTTCTTTGCTCCCTTTCCTTTATTATATCTGCTATAATGTGCCAGCAAATTGTCAGTTGGGTTTCAACGGGCCTCCCTCCTCCTGGTTATAATCCCAATTGTGAAATTATTACATACATGAAGGGGACACATGTCCCAAGGATACCTGTTGTTACAAACTTAGAAATTAGGCCGGAGACAACTGACCATGGGCAATTGTTGAGGGCCTTCTCTTTCATTCACATTCAAGTCCACTGATCTTGTAACAAGAACACGTCTTTAGCCACAAAATTAAGGAAAAGAAAAAGTCTCATCTCCTGACAACTCATAAATAACTATACAGTGAGAATCAATGTCTTTCCGTGCTTTTCAGCCACCTCTGATATAGCTTTCATCAAGCCACGCTGATTGAGATGGACACATCATACTTTTGAAAAGTCTGAAATTGCTTCTGAAAGAGTATGAAAAGTAAATGATCCCTATACAGTACAGTAATATCGAAAAGATGCCTTAGATGCAATTTAAAAGCAGGACAGTTTGATACTTGTGTGAATTACACACACACATCTACCTACCCTTTAAAGACTTCAGTTGAGGGATTCTTGAAAGGACTCTTGCTAGCACATGAAATGAAGGAGGTGGCTACCAAAGAGTGCCTTCTCAGGGGAGGGGAAGTGTAAGAAAGTTCTCTCCAAAGTCCCTTGGAATGAACTTTACAGTATTGCCCTTTTTGGGCCCAGGCAGAGATTTATTTACCACAAGGTTGGGAGGACAACTGGAACTCTGTGGACTGCTTTATGCTATTGCGGCTTTCACACGTACTTATCTATCACACTCTTCCCAGTTAGGTAAGCATGTTCATGCAAAGCACAGATAAGGAGTAAGAAATAATAAGCCAAAAAATTAAAGACAGGAGAGAAGAGAAGAGGAAACACCTAATTTACACCTATACCAGTGCTTCTCAACCTCAGCAATTTTAAGATGTGTAAACTGACTGGGGAATTCTGGGAGCTGGAGTCCACACATCTTACAGTTGCTGAGGTTGAGAAGCACTGCCCTAAATCTCTCCATGCATACAATATCTTTCTATTTTTGAAAGCCATCCTTGCCTCCAGCTCGTCCATTCACTGCTTCATACCTTGGTTTTGTTCTTTAAGCTTCTCACCTCACTCTTTCTGAGGATTTTATCAATTCCATCCAACCATGATCTTCTTGGTTTTTCCCTTCCTCTCAGCCCATTGACTCTTCCTTTATGTATATGCTGTGCAATCCCATCCTTGTTAGTTCTCTCTGTCTGACCAGCCCTCACCCCCCGCGCTTCAGTCTACTGCTTTCAAACTGGCCACTTGTGCATTCGACCCACATTCATTCATCACCTATCATTTATGATCAATTCTTGTTTTACTTCGCACACTTTCTATGTATCACATTCCCACTTACATTCAACCCACCTTTAAGTTTTATACCCGATTCTCTGTATAATGAATTGAAGCACATTCTTACACATAGCCATTTTTCTTCTTTTGGCAAAACATTTGTTCTTCATAAAAGGCCACAGACTACCCCCACCCCTTCTATCTACATTAGCACACTGTAAATTTCTCCGTTGTCCATTCTACCAAGATAACACAAATTTATCTACTTCCTCTAGTTAGTTACCATTTATGTGAAACTTGACATTTTAATTCCTCGTTCTTCCTGTAAACCCCTGGAGAATGTAACTAAAGGACATTACTAATACACCTAAAAGTAAAGAAATAATCGTTTAAAAATAATAAACATAGTAAATTATTTTGTCTTAGTCCTGCTCTTGGAAGAGAGATGAAATCAGTTAAATGAAAGGCTGAGTGCTCCTAAGAGCCGCATTTTGTGTATGGTGGTCAACTTTACACACCACTGATCCTGGACCCGTAGCAACCTTCTGATCCGCAGAAGTTAGCAAGTGTTCACGATTATATTATCTAAAAATTTTCCTTGCTGATTTCAGGAAACCAAAGGGCTGTTAAAGCACAGGACAAGCAAGGTCATTTGGCAAGCTTATCTCTCCACCCCAAGGGATAATAACTTCCCTTTGGTTGCAAACTTTCATAAAATTCAACTCCTCAATGTCAGAATACCATGAAATACAGGAAGAGAGCAGAGACACGGCTGTTCTCTTTAGGATGCTGGGTCTTCAGCCAGCTTGCTACCTTTTTTCATGCGCAACCCCAGGGTCTCAGCAACGGAGACCTGATCCCTAATTCTCCGCTCTAAACTCCACCTGCAACTTTTAATTTGTAGCCGGCCCCCTGAGTGTGATAAATTCCCTCATTTTAAATCTTACCATCTATGAGGACTTCATGACTCATTTAATATTTCAACTCACAAAATTAGGCACTTTAGTAGCTTAATAAGAGTCAGCTGCAGAATTTAGTAACGCGGACATAAATACTGATTATGTGCCTCCCCCCAAATCGGAATTTCAGTAATACCTCGGTTCACGAACGCTTCTGTTCACGACCAATTCGGGTCACGAACAGCTCCGTTCGCAAAATTGTGCTTCTGTTCGCGAACGCCGCATCGGGTGACAAACAGGATCCGTGGCCATTTTCCCTGCTGCCACACGTGGTCGTGGCTTCCTATAGGGAGGGGGACTCTCCCTCCAAACAATAACCG